TGAGTGTTAGAGTGAGGGTTAGAGTGTGTGTTAGTGTGTCAGTGTTAGTGTGTGTCTGCTAGTTAGTGTTAGTGTGAGTGTTAGAGTGAGTGTTAGTGTGTGTGTCTGCTAGTGAGTGTCAGTGAGTGTGTTACTGTGTGTGTCTTACTGAGTGTGTGTGTGTTATTGAGTCTGTTTGATGTCTGTTAGTGAGTGTGTGTTTGTCAATGAGAGTGTATGTTTTGTAAGTGAGTGTGTATGTCTGTCGCTGACTGTGTCTCTGTCAGTAAATGTGTGTATCTGTTAGCTAGTGTGTATGCGTCTGTAAGTGTGTGTGTGTCTTCAGCACTTACCTTTCTCCAGCGCCAGACTCCCTTGGCGCTGAGGATCCCTCAGCCTCTCAGCTCCGAATGCGACCGCGCACGCATTCAAACCGCCCATAGGAAAGCATTACTCAATGCTTTCCTATGGACATTCAGTGTGCTCCTCTAGCGGCTGTCAGTGAGACAGCCACTAGAGGCTGGATTAACTCAGTGAAACATAGCAAAGCCGGAAACTGCTATGCGTTTTCAGCTGCAGGGTTAAAAACTAGGACGGACACCCAGACAACTTCATTGAGCTGATGTGATCTGCGTTCTAGTGTCCTTAGCATATAGTGCCAGGAAAACATACTCGTTTTCCTGGCACTATAGTGCCCTGAGGGTGCCCCCACCCTCAGGGTCCCCCTCCCGCCCTGCTCTGAAAGGGGAAAGGGGTTAAATCTTACCTTTTTCCAGCGCTGGGCGGAGAGCTCTCCTCCTCCGATCCTCCTCTTCTCCTCCCATGTTGCTGAATGCGCACGCGCGGCAAGAGCTGCGCGCACATTCAGCCGGTCACATAGGAAAGCATTCATAATGCTTTCCTAGGGATGCTTGCGTGCTCTCACTGTGAAAATTACAGTGAGAAGAAGAGCATTTCTAGCGCTGGGTCACGAGACAGCCGCTAGAGGGAAGGTTTAACTCATTCAGAAACACAGCAGTTTCTCTGAAACTGCTATGTTTATGAAAAAATGGGTTAACCCTAGCTGGACCTGGCACCCAGACCACTTCATTAAGCTGAAGTGGTCTGGGTGCCTAGAGTGGTCCTTTAAGTGTGTGTGCATCTGCATGCCCTGGCGTACATACCGCGGTCGCAGGGGTCGCAGCCCTGTAACCTCTGCGACCAGGTGCCCACCATCATGTGTTGCGGCCCGGCCCGCGCGCGCGCGGGGGGGGGCCCCACGGATCAATTTTCGCACCGGGGCCCCATGGGTCATGTGTACGCCACTGGATGGCACATTAGCTTGACCGCGCAGTGCCCCCCAAATTTGAATTAAGAGGACCGACCAAGCATCTTCTTCCATCTCCCTGTTACAGAAATCACTGCCATATCCATACAAATTGTACAGAATGTCCAGGATAGTTTTCCAGGGACAAATGTTGTCGCCTGTTGAACGAGGTGACCTTGCTCGGGTCCCAGGTGTGTGGTTCCTAAAATGGCTGCCATATACACGTCCACTGATAGGAGACGCGAAAGGTATTAAACTGATCAGAACAATACTAAACACACCACAAATAAGGTTTCTCTCCTGTATGGCTCCTCAAATGATGCTTAAGATTAGAAGTGGCTGAAAAGCATTTCTCACACTCCGAACAAAAATATATTTTTTTAACATTCTCTCCACTTTGAACGAAATGACGTTTGGGAAGAGATTAACATAATTAAACACAGGCAGTAAAAATACAGTTTTTAGCCATACCCTGTAACTTTAAAACTACACATCCCATCTTCATAATTACATATTTGGAATCAGCACACTTAAAACATAAACATAACCAAAAATCAGCCAAATCCATCCAGGGGTTAAAAAGTTAGCTGGAGGTCCTTTTATGACCGACCGCAAGCACATTTTCCTGCCCAAAACAGTTCCATAGATTTGGGCTGTGAGGTCGGTCTATTTCAGGCTGAAAAAACGACTAAGTCCCATCGCGAATGGGACTTAGTCTCTGCAGCTGTAAAACCAGTAGGGGAGAAGGTAGAGCTCAGCGGTGTTCGCGGAAATGTGTAGCCGATTTTAATTCCATGAATTTGGCTACACATACCGCTGACCTCGTCGAATGATCAAAGATGGCCACCGCCACGTGTTCGGCAAACGAACAAAGACCTCCCAGCATTGTCAATTAAGCTGCGGTTAACCGCAGCTTCTGGGAGGTAAATTGCCTGCACACTTCCACTTCTGGTTGGTCTGCCTGTGTGGTACTTGGTTCAGTAAGCCCCATTTACTGAACCAAGTGGGAAATAGCCAGGCAGGCACAAAGGGTTTGCACCAGGTCTGGGGACACAGGGGACACCGTCTTAAAGGGGCAGTGTCCCCAACAAGTCTGGGGACACGGCCTTAAAGGGGCAGTGTCCCAATCTTCCTGATGTCCCAAAAAAGGTGCTTAAAGGGCCAGCACCAGTCACATAAAGAGTCCATAAGCCCCAATATGCCCACTGACAGTCTTAAAGGCCATACACACCAAATAAAAGTGCATACATTTTCACAATCTCCCAGGGGCCATAGTCATGCGGGAGGAGGCTGGCAAATAGGCTTCTCCACAACCCAGGGAAGCAGGGCAATTTGCCATTTAAAGGGCCCGTTACAAATAGCAGTTTGTAACAAGGTGTCAATCCATATCTGCCAAGTGACCCGATGTAGGGGAACAGTCCCTATTCTGCTCTGTGTCAGTGTGTATCATGGTCTCTGAGGACAGGTGTCAATCCATATCTGCCAAGTGACCCGATGTAGGGGTAACAGTCTCTATTCTGCTCTGTGTCAGTGTGTATCATGGTCTCTGAGGACAGGTGTCAATCCATATCTGCCAAGTGACCCTATGTAGGAGGAACAGTCCCTATTCTGCTCTGTGTCAGTGTGTATCAGGAATCCTTAGGACAGGTGTCAATCCATATCTGCCAAGTGACCCTATGTAGGAGGAACAGTCCCTATTCTGCTCTGTGTCAGTGTGTATCATGGTCTCTGAGGACAGGCGTCAATCCATATCTGCCAAGTGACCCGATGTAGGAGGAACAGTCCCTATTCTGCTCTGTGTCAGTGTGTATCAGGGATCCTTAGGACAGGTGTCAATCCATATCTGCCAAGTGACACTATGTAGGGGGACCAGTCCCTATTCTGCTCTGTGTCCATGTGCATCAGGAGCTCTGAGGACAGGTGTCAATCCATATGTCAAGGTGTCAATATGTCATATGTCAGGTGTCAATCCATATTCATTGTGATTTAGGAATGTTAGGTGATTTCTGCCCTTTATGGATTAAAACCAGACTCTGTATCAACTGTGTAATTTTCCATGGGAGTTTTGCCATTGATCCCCCTCCGGCATGCCACAGTCCAGGTGTTAGTCCCCTTGAAACAACTTTTCCATCACTATTGTGGCCAGAAAGAGTCCCTGTGTGTTTTAAAATTCGCCTGCCCATTGAAGTCTATGGCGGTTCGCCCGGTTCCCCGGTTCGCGAACATTTGCGGAAGTTCGCGTTCGCCATTCGCAAACCGAAAATTTCGTGTTCGCGACATCACTACTCAGGAGTGTAACTAGAAACCTCAGGGCCAGGGTGCAAGAATCTGCTAAGAGCCCCCATTTTCCCACTATATAACATAGGTAGATGATAGGTAGATCCTTAGTTGCAGTACTAATACCATATCTGCTATTTACCCATCCTTTCAGGATTTTATCTGTATGCAGTATCTCTGAATGTAGTCATGTGCTTGTATGGGATATATTTGTTAGAATATTTGTTTATTTGTATATAATGCTAATGTTTGAATGCTGAGGACCTGTTTGTGCAGTGATGTATTTTGGATCTGTGCTGCCCTAAGCATGAAGGAACTCGGGCACCTTCCAATTTAAATGTGCCCCACTCCTTCCCCTCAAGGCCACACCTCTTCCTGTTAAAGACTAACAGACACTTTGACTGACAGACGCACACTTTCAGATACACTGACATATACACACTCAATGATTTGACACAATCTGACACACACACTCACTGACATACACACACAATGATGCAGACACACACACTCACTGACAGACACCCACTTACCCACTGACAGACACACACACTGGAAGACACACACAATCACTCAGACACACACACACACTCACAGACTGCAGCTTTGATGCTTTTAAGTGTTTGTAATTTAACCCTTAGAGTGCCGTTCCATTTTGAACGTGTGGGTGTGTCACACAAACACGCTTGCTATCGCATGCTTCCCTACAGCCAATCAGGAATCACCTTAGGCTATATAAACTTTTTTTGTCTATTTCTCTGTGATCTGTCGTGGTTTCCATTGTGGTTATCAGAGAATGTGTTTCTGGTTGATTCTAGTGTATTTGCCCTTGGCTTTCCTTCTGACTGTCCCATCTCTGTATTCCTTGACCTTTGGCTTGCCTCCTGACTATTCTGAATTCTACATTCCTTGATCGTTGGCTTGTTCATTGTTTCTGTGATTTCTGTGTTCTTGTCCTTATCCTGTCTTGTGTTTTTTTCTTTTATATGTTAAATCCGGCTATTCTAAGGCCCGGTAATACGTCTTGGGATTTTCTTTCATATTTACTTAAGTTCTCCGTTTTGAGCATCAGCTATTCCTGACACAGACACACAAGCTCACTCACACACACACACTCACTGACAGACACACAAAATCACCCAGACACACACAAACACACACACATTCACTGACAGACACACACACTCACTCACTCACAGACACACACTAACAGACACACAAGCACTTTCACAGACACACACTGACAAACATCACTCAGACACACACTGACAGACACACACAATCACTCAGACACACAC